CACTGCTAAATTAGGGATGGCTATCGCATATAGCCCTCGTGTAGCTTTGCATGAAAATTCAAAAACAAAAAAAACAAAGAATATCTACTAAGCTTTTAGGGAAGACGAAACCATAAGTACTTCCCTACTTGTTTAGTCAGGCTTTTTTCTGAACAGGTAGGCTGCTCAAGAAAATGTGCACACTAATATTCACCACGAATCAGACCATAGAGGAGAATATACCACAATTATTTCTTCAGCTGTTTACGAAGAATCAAAATAAAAAGAGCTGCTGAATAAAGAGACAGCTCAGAAGAATTACCAAAGGAATGTTGTTGGCTTCCAATATATTTTGGAATAATAAACAAATAAATAGCAGCGTGACTCTTTAAAATCAAATATGAAAAGGAAGTTGTTATTTTATATTTTTATCGATCAAGTGGAACTACATTGTGCAATATTCAAATCATATGTCATGAACCACTTGATTAAAGCAGTTAGAACGCTATATGCATGTCAATTCCGGAAAGGCCTTATAATGTATTGTTACGTCTCCGTTCGTTAGTTGATTTTCCGTAACTTCGTTCCCACGAAACTTTAGCGACACAAGTCCTTTCTTAATAAAACTGGTTTATTTTTTCTGAATACAACTTTACGATACACTCAACTTCAACAGTCGCGCTATAACAAACTATAATAACGACGTTAACTTCAACAATACTTTCTGACGGCAGTTCAATTACTCATTACACATTGTCCCGTCACGTTGTGACCATCTTATATATACCAGACTACCCTATATCTAGTAAATGCTTGGGCATTCACGAAGGAACAAGATATTTCTAGAAACGTGGCGTGACACTAGTCACGTGACGCAACAGTATGTTTTTCAAACATACAGATGGAATGCCACAGTAAAAACCAGTAGTAATTCATATGAGATTCAGTTGTGATTTATATATGTGTCAGTTTGGAGGCCGGATTCTTTATAGTAGGTGTTTGTGACTTGTTGGCGATAAATGTCAACAATAAACGGACAGCACATAATCCACTTGTTTTAAAATAATATATTCAAAACAAGTCATACGTATGTACAAAAATTCGTTACACTGTTGGTTTTCACAGTTGTATCCAGAGCTTTACATAATTGTCTCCTTTTCGTTCTAGTCCACACAAGCGGGTTCAGTTACTTTAGAACACCCTTTGACAAGACAAATTATTTTTCTTTGTCTTTGTTGTTACATTACCACTGTGGCAATCACTTTAGATATTGCCCGTTCAAGCTAAACTTACAATCACGCAATCTAGCTTCACTTTCACTAACATACTTTAACTTCTTGCTTGCACTCTGTATCTGCAGGTATTTATAACATGCAACAGAAAAATCTAGAAATATCTAGCCCTCTAGTAACAACAATATTCGCACAACGAGAAAAACAATTAACTGCATACACAACGTAAGACTTTTACAGAATTATGTAACGAAACTTATCATAACTATCGCTTTTAAAATAATTAACTTTTAACACTGGTTATAAAAAGTAAATAATTATTAAATATTAATTCACTAAATAAACTGAATATTAACTCTTAAACCAAACAGTCTTGTATATTCAACAGTATATATATAGAGAGAGAGACAAGTGATGTCAGAAAGAAAGATAAGTGTGTTGAAGATATGAATGTGAATTTGTATCAGGTAGACTTATCCTCTTTCATTCTTCAATTCAAAAACACTCCCAGTAGTAAGAGATATTTTAATTTGTTAAGATCACTATAACTCCTATTGTGTTGATTGTGTTAATAGTTTTTGATTCTTAGATGGAGGACCAGTAGCATGGCCAGTTCAACTACAATGATTGTAGTTGGCTGTGATAGTAAATTTCTTTAGTATATTTTGATCATTGCTAACATATATTTTGGATTGTTACTTTTGTATTCATACATTACTGCTACAAATAAGGCTAGAGATAGTTTTATATGTGATCATACCTGCAGGATTCGGGAGAGGGTTTCAGCAATGTATGATGTTGCTGATTAAATGATATTTAACATAAGATCAGGGCACACAACTTATTTTATTACAAGTTCACATAGGATACGAACATAGCATGAGCTGTCATGGGAGGATATAGCACATTTATTATCCATCAGGGGCCAAGGAGGAACCAGCCCACATGTAAGTCTAGAAGAACATTAATTGAGAGTATTTGGATAGTGTGTAAAAAGGGGTGTTCTATTTTATTGTCATATTGCATTTTAATTATAATTTCAATGGTTTTTCTTAAGTGATTGACAGATGCTAGTTTAAAATTATTAATGTTGTAGCTAGCCTTCATGCCATACTGCAGCCTGGACTTCTGACAATTTACAGGGAATGGCCAGTATTTACACTCTCCATATTTAAGTTGGGTCTGGCATGACTATGTTGTTAGGGCACTCGACTGACAATCTGTCGGTCGAGAGTTTGAATTCCTTTAACAAACATTCCCCCCTTTCAGCCGTGGGAATGTTATAATGTGATGGTCCATTCTATTATACAGTTAGAGTACGCAAAGAGCCAGTGAT